CAGAGCCAAATGGCTCCGTCCCCACTGCTGGAGAGAACGAACACGGTTCTCCCCCCTCGTCCCGTCCCGGAGTTAAACGTTTGTTTAGGACAAACTAGAGAAGCAACAGCCTTTGCTAGAACCTTGTTGTCCCCTTCTTCTCCTCGTGAATAACAAAGTGATCATAGGCTACTCGGCCAGTTGGCGAGGAAAGAACTTTTGTTTTCTGGGGCGATTTATGTTCTTTATAAATATGTGGTTTGGAAAATAAAAAGAGACTTGAAAACGTTGTTACAATGAAAAAGGACAAATTAGAAGACATTTTCTGTGATCAAAGGAGGAAGAGAAAGCGAGTAGGGGTATTCAAAAAGCTTGACTTATTCACACAACTCCTTTGGAGCCCAGGGGCAACAAGCGTGTCTTACATTGAAAAGGCGGCTCTATTCAGAGTGCAGGTGCGAAGTGGTGTGGCACATTCTGCCACATTATGTAAAGGTTGTTGGAGATTAGTGTTCAGACTTAATAACTAAAGCGCTTGATTTACATTGGAAAAAAGCCTCCTCATCCGTGAAAGCAAAATAATTTAACGCGTGATCATTTCGAGTGCTGCTGATATCCTAATACTTGCATTGTTCTCGGCCAAGTACTAGAGGAGCGCGGATTGATGCTTTTGGGAACCTATCATTTACAGCCACTGAACTCTGCTCAGAACTGGAGGTCCGGAGGGAAGATAAAAGAGGGGCACAAGATAAAAGTTTCTCATTGGAAAAAAAAGAAAACAATATAAATGGGACAGATCCCCTCCTCCCTGCACGCAGCCCCGTCCCGGTGCCAGGCTGCGCCCAGCTCTGAAGAGCCCAAAATTGGGCTGAGGGCTCAGGCGCTCTCCCGCTCCGCCTTCCCCCGTCGGAGCAGAATTACTTACCTTACTAATTATTCATATTTATGTAAATGTCATTAGTTAATGTAACTTTCTATAAAAAGATAATCAGGCGAGAACGGAGCATAGGTATTACCTTAAGTGCATTGGCTCTGCTCGTTTCATTCATATGTTAATACACGTGATGCAGTAGTGCCAGGCGTGAGGAGGGGGGAGAGGAGGGGTGAGGAGGAAAGCGAGGGAAAGAAATTAAATAATAATAACAAAGACCACAAAGGCTTGAAGTTTGCATTGCGGGATCAAGGAGCACGATGCCTTGTGATGCGCTGAACAAAGGGGGACCGGCGCCGGCCCCGCCGATCCGGCTGCCCGGGCATCCCGGCAACTTCCAGCGGCGCTGGGTTGCTGTGCTCCCCATCAAACCACCTCGGTCCGCCCAAATTCCCCTGCCGGACGGAGACCCTCCGCTTCAGAACGACCCACAAAGAAAGTATCTTTACTCGGGACGCGCACCAATTAAAATTGCAATACCTTTCTGCATCCCTCTTTAGTGTAAGCATTTGGGGGCCATTTCCATAAATTCTCTCCGAGAATAAAGGCTATAATGGGAACAAGGTGAGAAAGCTGTTAACCATTGTTTCAGCAAGAAAAGGTCGTAAGTCAGGCAATTGGTGTCTGACCTGTCAGGATAAGGTATAAAGGCTTTATTCATGCAGTCGCTCACGATTTTCTCAGCTCTCACAAAAGTGTTTTTATGATTCTGTTTTCTTACCTCGTTCCTTAATTAAAAAGCTGAATGATTAGAATAGCACCTGCATAATGTCTGGACGACGCCTGCATACTAATTCGCAAGTCTTTACATCTAGTAATTATAACATAAAATCAGAGATTGAATAAAACAGAAGGATTTTGCCCCTAAAGCCCTGCTAATCCCCTTTTAAAAGAGTCTGCTGAAATAATTCAGAACAGTTTCCGGAAGTTGGATTACCGACTCTTTTTTTGGCTATTTACAATGAAATGATATTTCACACTTAAAGGAGTCTCTGTATTTCTACAACAGGTTTTTAAAGGTGGCCCGCTTTCCAGACAATAACAATCCAGTGACTCCTTCCTTCTTTTCCTACCGATTTTTCCCCGTTCTCCCAGCAAGATCTTCATCTTTATCAGCTATATGCGAGGATTAATCAGTCTTCAGGTAGAGAGAACAAAACCTCCCCCTCGAGCCCTCCCTCTGAGTTCCCTTCCAGGACTTCCAGCCCCACCACCCCCGGCCCTGGAGGAGCAGCAGGGCAGCGGCAGAGCAGCCCGAGTTCAGCTGCACCCCGTTTCCCCGCCGCCCGCAGGAGCTCCCATTGCTACACTGTCACCCCCCATGATATAGGATAATTTAAGCCAGCAGAGGCTAGTCAAAAGTTGGAGAATACTTTTTTTTTTTTTTTTTTTTTTTGTCTTCCAAAACTGCTGGGTAAGGCGGAAGGGATGGGGGAAAGGGGGAGATGTGCGCTTTTGTTTGGCTTCAGGAAGGGCTCTAGCAGGTATCCCGAGGGGCAGCAGAGTGGCGACAGGGACCGCTGGCAGAGCAGTGCCGTCGGGAAACGCTCTCCGTACCCTCACCCAACCCCGTGCAAGCCGGGGTGGCTCCCCACGTCCGCTCATCACCGCCACAGCGACCCTGAGAAGGTTTGGCAGCAGTGAGGAGCCGATCTTCTGGGTGGCATTGACCTGAGAAGGGAACGATTAAATAGCCGATTTTATTGGGCGTCCTGTTTATTTTAGTGAAAATCAAATCAAAAGAAAATAAAATAAAAGGTATTTCATCGTTGCCCAACGTGCTCCCAGCCGCGGCTGAGGAAGGAGCCCGATGCCCGGAGCCGCGGGTCCCAATCCTCTCCCATTCCTCGGACCGCTCAGAACACGATGAGGAACTGTGGAGGGTTTTGTATGCTGTTGCCATCATTAGGAACACCTTGATCTCTCGTGATATATTTTTTTTCTTTTTCTTATGTGAAAGAGTTGTTTTTGCGGTGACTTTTGTCGTCGTCCCCCACCCTCCCCCTCCCCGCCTTCTTCTTCTTCCCCAGAGTAATTGTAAAAAACTCTAAATCATCCACAAGAAAAATGGAGTCATTCTGTCAGTCAGCATTAAAAATCTGAGAGTTTTAACTAAAAGCTTTAATTGCTATTCTGGCCCTTTTATAACCATGGGAACGCCGTGCTCTGTTGGGATCTGTGCGATGTTACACATCCCTTTAGCAGGCACTCCCTTGTTTGTTCACTCTTGCTTACTTTCATTTGTATCCCAGGAATATCCTTGCACCAGGCGACACGGGAAAAGACAAAGGGTATAAATAAACTAACATATGGCCCAGAGGTTTTAGCGGAGCTGGAGCCGCTTAGCAGTCATGTGGGCGATGCTGGGGAGCCGGCTTCTCTCCTTCCCCCGCGTAACCTCCGCGCTCCTCTTCCACCTTATCGCGATAAGGCACGCGCCTGTCGCAGCCGGCCTGGCCGGACCAGCTGGGTTTCCCTTTGGGCTGTAAAAATCGAGACAGCGAAGGGATGGGAAAGGATGAATAAGCGTGTGTGCGTGTCTGTGCCCGTAAGTGTGTGTGCATGGAGACAGCTGGAAAATCCCATTTGGGGTGATGGTCCCAGGGCAGGGGCTCAGCCCCGGGTCACTGCGGGTCCGACCCCTCGGAAAGGAGAGGGGAGGGCAGGGCAGAACGCTGCACGTTCAGACATCGACAACGGGTTCTTGGCAATGTAAACCAGTTCAGGGCTTCTGTCCCAAACTGCTCAGTCCTACTCGGCGTGTCTGACAGCCCCTCCCGCCCCTCCGTTTCTCCCGATATCGTGGAGGAAATGGGCTTTGGTTACTGATTCATATTTCTAATCTTCCTTTCCTGAACATACAATGTGCTTTTGTTAAATGAATGGTCTTTAATTAATGCACTTGCACAATGCAGGGGCTTGCACGGGGATCGATGATAGGAAGCAACAGGGGATGGTTCCCTCCAAAATGGTTTGTCAGCATTGAGAAAGAAAAGGCAATGTCTTTAAAGGGCCACTAATAATGCCCACACGTCTCTCACCATGCTGTCTGAGGGGACATTCCTTCCCTTGTTGACAGTCAAGTGCAATAAGTACATGTCTTCGCTCAATCATTAGAGACCATAGAATTGTATTCTTTAATTAGCATGTACTGTTAGCCCTCCTTGCCTTTTTGTGCCTTTTTTTTTTTTGTCTTCTACACATCGGCAAAAATGTTTTCCTCTCTTTTTCTTTCATTCCTTTCTTCCTGTAATTCTTTACTTTCTTTCATTCTCTCCCTTTCTGTAGTCAAACGCATTCTTAGTGACAATATTCGCGCCACCCAAAGCCAACTTTTTGTCATCTCTGTGTGTTAGTCAACTTCTTTCAAGTTTTCCATTAGGAAAAAAAAAAAAAAAAAGGTAAAGGCAGCGCGCATGCGCACTACACCGGCAGGGGTTGGGGCTGCTGTGCCCAGGGCTGCATTCACCCAAATGGCAAAGCTGGGCTCTGAGCAGCCCTGCCAAGGGGATTCTGAGCGAGCTGGGAGCTGCAAGGCGTCAAAATCAGTCGGTGCAATTCATAGGGCCCGGAAGGGTTATCTTCGTGCTACTTCACCTGATGAATTCATTTCCTCTCTTAGATATATACATATAAATACTCATCAAATGAAATAAGTGGCACTGTGTCAGGGCTCATTTTAGGGGGATATTTCCTCAAACAATGTTATCCCACGCCTTCCTGCCAAGAGAACACACACCATGGGACAGAGGCAGGAGCAGCGGAGCTGGGGGGGCTCTGCCAGGAGCCCCGCGCCCATCCCCGGCGGTCGGGGACCTCACGAGAGCGGAGCTGCCCGCCTGGAACCGCGGAGTGCAGGGCAGACAAGAAAGGGACGGGGCTCGTTGAGGAAAACTCGGGGCACTGGGATCTGCGTTTGCACGCTGCACTTCGGGCAATGTTTATAGAATTCATTGGAATCTCTTTCTCTGAAAAACGAAACAAAACAAAAAAAAAAGCTATCCCCGAAATGAAGCCAAAGAGGTGCTTTGGTTTGGTTTTGTTCTTTTAATGCAAATGCCAACCTAAAACGATTAACATTAGGAGAGGATAAAGACCAACAAAAAAACACGCCTTATATCGTACACCACATTGACAGTACACCGCTTCGAGAAATCTTTTTCAACGAATATAAAACCAACAGAAGGACGAATTACAGCGCTCTGGGAGCGGCTCGGCATCGTCGGTACAAACACATATTTTTAAAAGTGCACATTTGTAAAAATAACCCTAGAATTGATACGTTTATAAATATTTATTGTAAAAAAAAAAATCCAAATATTAAAAATAAATAGTATGTTCAAGCGCACAACAGAAAGTTCCTCCGTTACCAAACATGTGATGAAGGAAAAGACGGAATTTAAGAAGTCAGATACAGTATATCAACGTTGCAAATGTTTTTGCGAGCTACATTTTCAGAGGTGTTTTCTTCTCCGTACAGTTCACGAGGAGTGTGGTAGATTTCCCCATAAATATGATAAGAGCCAGAATCAATAATAACAATAATACTAATAATAATAATACCCCCTCCGCCGCAGTTTGACTCGGTCTTTGATCAGGAAAAGTCCCATTAAAATTTTGGGGTTGCTTAGAACGGCGGAATTGGGCTCAGATCACTCTGTAGCAACTAAAACAGAAGTACACCGATGAGTTACAACTTCGAGGAATCCGCTTTACAAACAGAGCTTTGAACGATCTCCGATGGGAAACTCCTAAATAAATCTTGACCGGGGAATCGGTACGCACGGTGATGTTTATCAAATGAAGATACAAAAGGGATGCGGTTGGGCTATCTTTACACTTACGGACAATAAAACATGGGAGCATATGGAAGCCATCGCTTTGAATGCGTTAACCACTTCGATACATCGCAGTATATACACGCTTAATAGGTATTCGGACTGTTGAAATGATCAAAGACTTTCACTCTGATGTCTTTGCTGTTGCTTTCATTCTAGTGAAAGAACACGTCTGTTGGTCACATACTGGTGGCAACGAGACCCAACGTTTCTGCCTTCTCTCAGGAGCTGCATTCTGCGCAGCACATGTGGAAGAATAATTTATTAGACGGAAAAGTTCAGAGGATAAAATGCCAAAATGGACATCATTTCAACTTTAGAGCAGTAAGGTCATGCAGACATCTACGGACATCTGTAGGCAGACAGTTTCACACAGACGCAGCCACGTAGATCCAGATGTATGTCTATACACAGGATTCGGTAGTTTGGTATTTTCCGCACCCTCTGGGCCCCCAAAGTTATCTTTAAAAGTTTGATTTTATCTCTTTAGAAACGGTTTAAAGCCAACGGGCAGGGTGAGTTTGACAGAGAGGAGAACAAATCGCTGACAAAGAACCTTTTACGTTTCATCAGCGTTGTTAGGACGACGAGCAGGAATTTCTCAGATAATAACTCCCACTTCAAAGATTTCTCAGCTCAATAGAAATTGGACCATCCTTTTTATTCAACCACAAGGGCTGGCACTAAAGACGACTCAACTGTTTGAATTTTTTTTTCACCGTGTTTATTTTTCCCCTATTCACCAGGGTACTTGGATAAAATAAACAACAAGACAATTACTGGAACATGGACTTCTAACTTTCCCGGGCCCATGGCCCAGCGCCCATGGCCCCGGCCGTGCGGGTGTCAAGTTCCCCGCCCCCGGGGGCTGCGGGGGGGTCCCTCGAGCCGAGCCCTGAGCGGAGCCGCGGGTCGCGGTGACATCCCCGGCGCAGCCCCTCCGTGGGGCGGTCGCCAGAGGGGTTCTTCCCCATCCTACCGAGGGGATGGGGGTGAGGGGAGCGCGGGCAGAGCCCGGAGCTGCCCCTTTTGGGGGATGAGGGGAGCGGAGCCCGCTTGGGTCGAGGGTGAAGCCCGGCGGAGCCCAGCCCCGCAGAAGGGCCTTGGGTGGAAGAAGCATGTCCGTAGCGAGGGGCAGATTGAGTGTATTAAGCTAGCATGAAACCAAAGGTCAGTGCAAATGTATCTTAATAGACTGTCTCAAATGGAGTGTGCCTCCTTTGAAGGCCGCTTGCTATTGCTCTCCTCATTACCATAGCGATCCTAACGTGGCATGCTGATGCACCATAAAACTCACACTTTCAACCCCAAAATCAGGCCCTTTGAACAACCCGAGCTTGATTAGACCTTTCTCCTTTTCTTTTCCCCCTTAAAAACCATTTCCTTGCCTTTAGAAACTCGCCCTCAAATCCCAAACGCATTCTCTGATCCCGGCAGAAAGCAGAAACAAAAGTGAGCCGAGGCGGCGGTTCAGGCGGGCCTTTTCTTCCCGACATTCTTATCCATTTTTATTATGATCTGGAACAAGTGCCCCGTTCGCGTGGGTTTTGTTTACCGGAAATTAAATGAAAATGATTTAGTTGGCGTCAAACAAAAATATATACTTGTATACACAAGAAAAAGGGCCCGTTAGACGTAAATATTATGTCCTTAATGAAAAGACTGGACGGGCTCCAGACTTCGCCTTTCACTATTTAAGTATGACTTGCCTATTGCCATAGAAATCCTAACTTACCATGAAGATTCACCGTTGTGAAGAAATACTTCTTTGTGCGAGCTTTCTTTGATGTCTAAGGCATAAGATTCAGGCTTTCAGCTGCGTCTGTCTAGATTACCTTGAGAGCAACGGGGCAGACATCTGTAACAAGCAAATGAAAAATTAAAGGTGATTAGCCTGCACATCCAACACTTCTGGAAATAGAGAAATAAAGAACTAAACAGAGCCGGGGACAGGATGGACACAGCCTTCTGCCCGCAGCAGGCTCCGGTTCTGAAGTGTGACTTTGGGGCTGCGTGACAGAAGGGAGCAGCGCCCAGCGTGGGCTCCGCACCCATTTCCCCAGGCCCAGTGGTGCATTCTCGCCCTGACACAAGGCGAGGAGCGAGGCACACAAACCCCAAAAGTTGCCAGGTTCGCGCTGCTGAAGTGGGGACGTGGTGCCTTGGGAACAGCATCGGGCTGCAGCAGGAGGGGCTGGGTTTGCCACTAACCGTCTATCTGTTTTCCTCTCGCTTTTATCTTGACATCTATAAACACACACGTGTGTATGTGCGCGTGTGTTTGCCGGACACAGCCGCAGCCACCTGGGCGGAGGGGGTGAACGGGGCACAGGGAAAGAGCTCACAGCAGCCCCTCCGCACCCAGCAAGCCGTGGGAAACCCTTCCAGCAGCCCGTGCTATTTATTTGCCTATAGTATCTGCTATTCTTAAACATCATTAAAGTAATTAAAACGGTACCATTCGGCAGTTTCAAGCTACCCCACTGGAGGCTTTTGTGTGCTTGTTTTGTTGTTGTTGTTGTTGTTATTGTTTTTGGTGTTGTTTTTTTTTTTTTTTTTTTTTTCCCTCCTCTTTCCTCCTTTATTTCGCCAAGAGGAGTGAGCCGTGTATGTTTGTGTAGGGTCTAGCTTGAAGCTCTGGGCCATGCCCCAGCCGCGCTGTGCGAGCACCGGCACCGGGAGCGCTCCGCAGGGCACAGCCGTACAGCAGCGGCCCCGGCCCCGTTCTGCCGGGGGGCACTGGGCCCCCACCCGCTGCGTGACGTCATTGGCGGCTCTGCCCTCAGCCCCCACAACCCCAACCAGACAGAGACCGCACCTGGGGGGGGAGAGGGGGATTTGGGGGAGCCAGGGCCGAAGGAACGTGCAGCCCCACACCGCCTGGGCCGCCTGTGTTAGGCACTGGGGGAAATAGATAGCTGTATGTATTGTTACGTACTGCTGCAGGGAACGGTGGGAGATTCTTTACAGAAACGTCCATCGAGAGAGTTAATTAACGAAAGAATTTAATGGATTAATTCTGTACAATTCGGTAACAAATAATTGTTTATATACTTTTTTCTTTTTAAAAAAAAAAAACAGAACAACGCTCTCACAGAAAGTAGAGGACCAGCAGAACACTTCAGCACGAGACACTGTTGACAAGAGAAAACCTGTACAGCTGCGAATCCGTTGTGAAACCACTGTGGGTGGGGAGCGGGAAAGGGAAGGGAAGGAAAAGGGATAAAGGAAAAAGGAAAGGGAAAAGAAAACGGCTGCTGCAACTCTGTGCGCTTATGGCCAGGCGGGAGCAAGGAGATCAGCGGGAGGTGCGCTCGGAGGAAGGAGGCAGCTTGGCCAGGCCGAGCGGGAGCAGCGGGGTCCGGCAGCACGGCTCTGCCTCCCCGGGGCCGAAGCCAAGGCCCGTCCCCTCCTCTCCGGCTGCCCGCGGCCGCGCTCCCGCTCCCGTCGCCCGCCGCGCTCTCTAGCAGCGGGGCCGGGGCTGGGCGGCGGGGCGCGGAGGCGGCGGGGCGGCGGGGGGCGCGGGGCGGCCCTGACACACGTACCATTCGCTCAGGTTGGCGGCGGGCGGCGCGGGCGCGGAGGACTCGGCGTGGGAACACGAGGCGGGGGGGTCCCGGCCGGAGTCCGAGGAGGGGGACACCAAGGAGGGCGTGGAGGACTCGTAGCCGGAGCTGGGAGGAGGGGATTTGCAGTGCACTTTCATGTGTTTTCTCAGGGAGCTGGGGTGGGTGTAGGACTTGTCGCAGCCTCTCACTTTGCAGTTGTAGGGTTTGTCGCTGGTGTGGACGTGCGAGTGCTTCTTCCTGTCGCTGCTGTTGGCGAAGCGTCTGTCGCAGCCCTCGAATTCACATTTGAACGGCTTCTCCCCTGCGGGTGGCAAAGAGAGAGCACAGCCGTTAGCACGGGGGCCTCCGGGCAGCCCCCGCACCCCGACCACGCTTTCATCCTCTTCGGCCCCACAAGGCTCCCCCGGGGCGGCTCCTCTCGGGCCCCGCCAGCCCCGGCCCTTCCCCGCCACGCTCCCCTCATGCCCATCCGGCTCCACAGCGGGAGCGCTCGGCCCGAGGCCGCTCTTCCCGCCCCTGCCCTCGGTGTCAACGTGGGGTTTTGTGCGCCAGACAAAGCCCCCAGATAAGGAAAACTTCGATGCGATGTGCTCGTTCCGGGTAAACAATGCGCGCTGTCCCTGAGGACCCCGGTGTCCTGCAGAAAGAGCGGGCAGTGATTTATTTCTGGGAGCGTTTTTACGTTAAATACATTTCTCACACTCCCGGAGGTGCAAGTGGAAATATTATTCGTCACCTCACCAGATCACATCTCGTGCACTCCTTTCTCGCACTGATTACGATCCCGCGGAAGAACCGCGTCCCCCCTCCCTTCCCCGCTCCCCAGTTGCTGACACAGTAGGGCAAAGCACAAAATCTTTCTAAAAGACATCGATGGTGTGGGCGAAACGAGAGGGATTCAGCAGGAGAAAGAGTAGGCCGGGACACTGCTCTGTCTGGGGCAGCATTCTCTTTTCATTTGAACCTACTCAGTCATGGAAGGAATCGCAATCGGGATTAATTTGTCTGGTAATATGATAAGTGACGTTAAGCAGAATAGAAATATAATTGTGATGCCAAAGTCACGCATAAGTTGGGATGGTGCAGACCGTGCACGGTACACGATATACAGGCAGCTTTCCAGGAAACGTGCCACGGAGAGCTTCGGGCTGAAATGACGACTGCGTTATTGTCACTGACAATGGCACACTGCAAACCCAGCTTGGCAAGGAACGTTCAGGTTCTGCAGCAGCCGGGTGGGAAAAAAAAAAAAAAAAAGAAAAGCCAACTCATCCCCTTAAGCAAAAAAGTATCTGGGCGAGGGAGACACCACGAGATGTGCAGCCGAACCCTAATCGTCAAGTACAAACAAAGCCCCTGTACTCCCATCATGGCGTGTGTGGCGGAAGGGACCCGGCACATTTGTAAAAGCTCCGGGCTTCTGGTTTTTAATTTGTTGGCGGTTTTTATCCCCTCGCGGATCGTCACGATCGAATTTCGGAGGGGCGCAGCCCACCTCGCGCTGGCTGTGAGCACGAGCACATAAAGGAAAGCATTCCAAATATTTCACATGAATGCACTTTATGCAAGGTGGGTGGGAAAAGGCTCACGGCTCCGCGCTTCGAGCGTGTCCTTTCCTCCGGAATACCCACTGACGGTCACCGCTAACATTTGCACAGAGGATTGGTAAACACCTGGCATCGGGGAGAAGGGGGAGAGGTTAAAAATAAGGTCTCGAAGAAATTAATGCGGGTCCGTAACCAAATGCTGTCGGTATACAGCGGTGCATATGCACGCACACATATAATCTAATTACAGCTCCACGTAAGGCAACAATTTGACCTTCAGCATCTACGTTGAGACAACAAATCAAGGATATTAGTGTAGTACAAGCAAGCAGTAAGTTAGGAGGCCCCAGGGAAAGCCATCCTCATAAGCGCTTCGGTTGTGCAACGTGAGTTACAATCAGGTAAAGGCGGCTGCGGCGCGTTCTGCTTCCTCCGGAGTTGCAAGACGTTAAACTTCGCTTAACCCCGTGAGAGAGGCGCCGAGCAGCCCTCGTGCAGTCAGAGAGCAGCGGGGAGAGGGCAGCGCTTCCGCAGCAGCCCGGGTTGCATTCTCGGAACGCCTCGGTAAAGAGGAGCCGGCCGAGATGTATTCCTTTCCTGAGAGAGGGTTTTCTTACGTGGGAACCCCACCCGCAGGGAAGAGGACACAGTGCGGTCCTCCCAGGGCGGCCCGGGTACAGAGGTGCGGCTATGCGGACGCTCAGAGAGTTCTCCGGGCGACGGAAAAGCGCAGGACCCAACCCGCCATGTTACCCCCCCACTTGTAGCTGCGCAAAACCGTCCTCTGCTCGGAAATTGTGGCATAATCCCCCGTCTCCGGGAGTGGATTAAGGTATTTACCAACTTCTCCGGGGGGCGGGGGGCCGGAGGCGGCGGCCTCGGGCTGCGGGCGGGGAACGGGGGCGGCGGGCAGCGCCCCACGGCCCGCAGAGGGCCCCGGGAGGCAGCGCCGGGAGCCGGCCCGGCCCCCCCACCCCCACCCCGGGCTCACGGGAACCTCGGGCCTGGGGAGCAGAGCCCCGGCAGAGAGCCCTCCCCGGCCCCGCAGAGAGCGGCGGTCATTAATATTTGAGGAGGCAATAATTTTCCTGTTGAATCTAGAACTGTCTTCATGAATAATTTGTAGCGAGTTCTATGAGGGTTTCAGAAACATTTCGCTTTTGACAACTTCTGGGTGTTTAATAGAAACGGTGGAACCATAAAGGCCCCGCAGGAGTTTTCACAATACAGCAATTAATCACCGGGAACGTTAAAGTGAAAAGTACAGACGCGCGGAATTATGTTTAATAAACGCACGGCTCCGATCGCGGCTCTGCCCTGAACCTGCCTCGCCGATGTAGGTCACTTTCCCCAAGAACTTAACCATTTTCTGCTTCAGAGACTTCAAACAGTGAGGCCGTTAAAGAGCAGTAAAAGTTTGTTTACTTAAGAAAAACGCCGTCATTAAGGGATGAGCTCCGCCGGGCGAAGGCTGTACCTGTTCCGATCCGGCCGCAAGCTGCGTGACCCGGGGCCGCTCCTTTCTTCTCGCAAAGCGGCCGAGAACGAAGAGAGGAACCCAGCTCCTCTTTGCCCCCCCACCTCCCACCCCCTCCCAGATGAGCTACTCACAGAGCGATGGAAAAATAATTAGGTGACGAGTGATGCTCGCTGTAAAACCTCCGCGCTATGTTTAGGCGATACGATACGAAATTAGGATAGATGTCATGCATATTACAGCACGTCGGGTTGTATCGTAAAAACGCTGCTCCTAGAAGGTCGGGCCGCAGCGAGCGTGGGGGGAAGGGGACTTTTAGGAACTGGAGGGCGAAAAAAATCGTTTGGCTGTAAGCAGATCTTACAATAGGATTATGGAGTTTCCCTCGCAGTGCATAAGGCAGTACAGGAGGGGGTGGGGGTGGAAAACCCGACACTGGAACAGATTAAATGTTCCAAAAAGGGCTTATTTCTTATCGTCCTTAGGAAAAAAAAAAAAAAAAGAAAAAAAGAAAAGAAAAAGAAAAAAGAAAAAAAAAAAGAGAAAAAGGAAAAAAGAGAAAAAAAAAAAAGAGGGGAAAAAAGGGCGAAAAAAATCACAACCCAACTCCACAGACTACAAACACCGGCTGCTAAACTAATTAATACAACTTCACAAGCTGCTACTGAAAGTGTGAAAACTTTCTACGTGTCATTTCATTAATTATAAATGCTTTCCTGGCCGGAAGAGTTCAAAGGCAGTTTTGAGAGATCGTCCAGCGAGTGACTTTATTTCTGTTAGCCAGAACCAACAGACGCTCCCGACACATGTCCCAATTTCGCTTCACAGATCTGCAAATGACATCTCAAGCAGTACAGGCCGAAACAATACAGGGGGTTCTTCTCTTTTTTCCCTCCCGAGATTCAGAACTTGCAGCTCCCCGTATCTGCGAGCGCACAGAGTCCGTGGATGGCAATGCTCATGAAATATGTCAGTGTTATTCAGATCAAACATATGAAACTCCCTCTGCCCAAAACAAAACTGTTGAACGAAAAGGTCGCAGCTGTGTTATTCTCACAACGTTCGACCAGCAGCATCTCAGCGACATCGCTCAAAACTGACTAGACAAGTTGTAAGTCCTATTGTTCACTTTTAATTTGGGAGCTTGCACAATGATTTCATTTTTTTCCCCAACTACATTAAACTGCCAACAGGAAAGGAAAAAAAAAAAAAAAGAAAGAAAGAAAGAAAGAAAAGAAAGAAAAGAAAGAAATCCACGCCCGTGTGAAGCAGCAGCAATAGCTCTACCACTCGGTATGGTCACAGCTCTCCCCGCACAAACCTCACAGCCACAAAACCAGAAAAAAAAAAAAAAAAAAAAAACATGGACGAGAATTCCGAGATTTGTTCTCGCTCACCTTTTTTTCCCCCCATCTTCTCCCCCTCCCTCCAAGCGGTACAGAAGCAAACAAATTCGAGAATTTATTTTCTGGAAGGACTTGGCGTGCATTCAACAACAACGCAAAGGACACATTCAAAAGAAAATAAAGCAAAACAGTACGCTGAATAATACAGAGAGAGTAAAGAGAGCTTTCCATACTGACCTGTGTGAGTTCTTTTGTGTATTTTGAGATTCTCTGATCTGGCAAACACTTTGCCACAGCCTGGGAAAGGGCAGGGGAAAGGTTTTTCACCTGTGTGGACTCGGATGTGATTTACGAGTTTGTATTTGGCCTTGAAAGGTTTCCCTTCTCGCGGGCACTCTTCCCAGAAACATATGTGATTGGACTGCTCGGGTCCTCCAACGTGCTCCACGGTGACATGAGTCACCAGCTCGTGCATCGTGCTGAAAGTTTTCGAGCATAATTTTTTGGGAGTCTGCTCCAACTCAATCCACTTACAGATGAGTTCCTGTTTGATGGGCTGCCGCATGTAGCGGAAGAAGGCCCCCGGGCCGTGGTGCGGAGCCAGGTTCACGTTCAGGTTCATGCCACCGTAGCTATGAAGCGAAGAAGCAGCAAAAGGCTCTGTCCTGGAGGCTGGCACTGGAGTGAAATGTTCAGCTTTGGCGTACATTTCTCCAGGTAACCCCAGCCTTATCTGTCCGTTTAGATGGCCACCTGGAGCTGCACGGGGCGGCTGCTCATGGAGTCCAGCGAACAGCGCGGGATTCCCGGCTTCCGAGGGGCGGTGGTGCCCGCGGTGTCCGGGGCAGCTACCTGTTGTCGAGACAAACAGTCCGTGGTGAGATCGGGCAGCGGGGTGCTGCTCGCTCAGCCCGGGCATGGCCGAGTCCCTGACCGCAGCTGTATGGGACACGGGGCAGGGGACCGTCGCCGGGCCGAACGCTTCTGTGTGACCGGAGAGCGGCTGGGCCGAGCCCGCCGGGCGCGGGCGGTGGGGCTGAGGGGCAGGGCCGAGCTTTAGGGATGCGAGGTGATGCTGAGGAGGAAGATGAGGATGGTGGCGGTGCCCCATGTGTTGGTGCGGCCAGTCGAGGCGGGACCCGGCGGCGGGGGGGTGCGCGGCGAGGCCCGGGCAGCGTGGCACGGACTGCGGGGGGTGGCGGAGATGGGGACGTAGAGATCCCCCCGGGTCAACGAGTCTCAGCGCCGCGTTCCGCCCGCAAAGAGCAGCGGGGTCCATCACTGGGATCCCCGGAGCACCCACACTCTTTAGCTGTTAACGCTAAAAAGCCATCTGACGGCGGAGGGGAGAGGGAGACGGTGGGGGACGGGGGGGAATAAAGAAAAAGCAAAGAAAAAGCGAGGGGGATGAAGGGGGAGGAAAACTTTTTTTTTTCTTTCTCCCCCCAAAAGTTTCCCGTCCCGCTTGCTCCGGTGGCGGGGCGCACGGTGTCAGCGGGTGGGCTGCGCGGGGGTGGCGGGGGCTCGCTTTTGGCGGCGGCTGAGGCCGGGGAGGTCCCCGCACGGCCCGGCCTCCGCGGGCCCCCGCAGACCCGCGCCGCGCGGCCGCGGGACGGGACCGCGCCGCCTCCGGGCTGCCGCGCACGGCCCCGCGGCCAAACAATCTCCCTGTTCTCCCATTGGCCGCCGCCGTCGTGGCGTCACCGCTGACAGGTCCCGCCGCCGAACCGAGGGTTATCGCTCGGCGCGGGCGGGGGGCTGCGGGGAGCCGCGTACTGCGCATGCGCTGCCGCCGGCTGCCCCCGGCCCGCCGCCCTCCCGCAGCCCTGCCGGGGGCCGGGGCCGTGACAGGAGCGTGCCCCCGGTCCCGCCGCCGGGCCAGGCCTCCGGTGCGGGTAAACAAAGCCCCGACGGGCAGGGAGAGCCCCGGTGGGAAAGCCCCGGTCGCTCCCCTCGGCCTCCTCCTTTGTTTGGGGCCCCGGCGCTCACTGGCGGCCGCCTCCACGCGCAGCCCTGCGAGCCTCCCCTTGGGGTTGTGCAGCGTCCTCGTGCTCGGGTTGGTACTGCGGCTCTCGGCCGCGCAAAGGGCTCTCGAAAAAGCTGCGCTCACCGCCTCGGGCGAGTTTTGGTGTTATACGGTTGTTGGTTTTCAGGCAATGGGAGAAATCGTGGTGTTTGGGGCTGAGTCTGAGTTCTTAACCCAGAAGAGGGGGTATCTCCCTTCCTGTCTCTCTCTGACACTTATAAGTAAATCCCCATCCTCGATTTGATGAGAAGCATCGCAACGCATCTGTAAAGCCTCCGTTCTGTGTTTCTCACCTGGAGGAGAGAGCACAACTGAGGGGTGCGAGCTGCCAGCTAAGAATCAGGCTCCGTGCACTGAGGCCTGACAGGTTTAGATAAGCTCAGGGTGTAGAAGGAAGCTCCCACTTCAATGTAAAATGGGGATTGTGAACTTTCCATGGAGCATGGGAGAAGACACGTGAAAGACAGTGCGTGCTTTGAGAACAAGAAACACAACTGTAAGTAGCTGCCTACAGCAGCACCAGATCTGGGGTCCTACCACAGAGGACTCTGCCAATGAACAAGAGAAAGCAGCAATTAGTTCCCTAAGCCTGGCTCCCACAGCTCGGTACCTGTCTCGCTGTCACTTCCCCATGGATGCTCTCTGTCACACCAGATGAAGCTCCCATTACAGGTTTCCACACTTCCACACAAATTTATCAGCTTTACAATAAGTGGCAAAATATGAAAATGTTCTGCACGGTCAAGGCAGCTGCTCAGAACAGAAGCTACTAGCCAACGAGTGGAAACGATAGGATGTAAACATGAGACACCCAGAATCACATAGGACATGTTCCTGGCACAGCCTACCATGCTGCCTGGCTGCAGTTTTGGATCTCGCTCTACTTCCCCCATAGCACAGAAGTGATACTATGGTCACTGGCTGTAGGAACATCCTCATGTACATCTATCTGAGTGGAGATATGATGAAAAGTGGCAAATGACGCTGTCAGCTCTCCATCCTTACAGAACATGTTTACACAGGCATTTTACAGCACACGCCATCCTCATAGTATCTTAACTCCTAACTACTGGCTCTAGGGAATGGCTTTTGCGGTCCTATTCATGAGCATCTCAATAGGAGTGCTCAGGAGACACACGTTAGGAAGTACGAATCTGTTACTTACAAATGCACTGAGAGCGTGAATTCCAAACAAAGCTGCTTTCCCTAACCTCCCGAAAACCTTCCACCTCGACATACTTGTTATCCAGTAATTCTGACACTTCTCGGGCAGGAGAGAATACATCTGGAACAGTTTATCTATTAAAGATGTTCTAACCGGATTTGCCCTGCGTTCACTTCAGTTACTGCAGTGTTTTCTGTTTGGACACCGATGGCTCTCGGCTCGCACCCCGCTCCCAGTCCAGCTTGCAACAGCGAATAAGCCCCTATCCCGCTGTCCCGGGGGGCGGGCGGGGTTCCCGGTGCCGGCAGAGAAGGGCAGCACGACGGGGGGCAGCGGGGCTGAAGCTCGGCGCTGCTCGCGGGATGCTTGGAATCCCGAGCGCCGTTAAGCGGCCCTTTGGCTGCCGCTCGAGGGGTGAGAGAGGTTTCCTGCTCTTGGCAGCTTTGCGAGCTGTGTGTGACCAGATGAGCTCGGCAAACGCTCAACTGTGTCAACATCAGCCTGTGCGTGGCCAAGGTTTTATTATTATTGTTATTGTTTCCTTTCCACCCACCTGGCTACGATATGGGCATCCCCTTCTAGACCCCCCCGGGACTGCTAAGCTGGATGAACCTGAACACTTCCAGGCAGAAGGCAGCAATGCTCAAGCAGCAAAACAGAAACATTCCGTTCAAACTGAGCCAGTCATCAGGGTAGGTCCAGTGCTAGGACAATGAGATCTTTAGGGTAGACCTTAGGATAGAATGAAGTGCAGAGGAACCTCGGTGCTCTCTTGGTGACAGATCCAGGGGCAATCAACGTGTGCTCCTGACAGCTCTGTGCTCGGTACAACTTTCCTAGCAGCTGTCCTCAAGCCTGCCTGCGTTGATGGTCTGTTCCAGAGAGCTGACAGGTTATGGAGTGATACACCCGGGTTTTTTCCTCTAAGATTACTCTGAGGCACCTTTCTCCTTTCCTTGGCCCCAGGGCTACGGCTCTCCCCTGTCCTAGGGCCCCTGTCTAAGGGCGGGTGTCTGCAACACGAAGCCCCCGGCACTGCCCGCACCGCGTCCTGCAGGACCAGCCCAGCACCGCAGAGCCCCGGGGATGGGCCGTCCTGGCTGTGCCGAGCGGTTTACAGAGCTACCATGTTTTTTGCTGTGAATTTCCCCGATGTAGTAAGTCACTTCTCCCTATGGCTACCTTTCTGTGAAGGCGACAGGCAAAGCCCCAGGAAACCGGGACTGCTCGTGTTGTGCTTTTTGAATTGGGGCCAAATACTGCTCCCCCCTAGAGCTGCGCTCGGTGTTAGGAGAGGTCCTGCCCCGGGCTCTGACCTCCGGCCCCTCGGCCGTGCCCTCCCACCCCTGAGCACAGTTCCCTGCTCGATGAGCCGGCCAGAACCCCTCCGATCCGGGCTCTGAGGGTATGCCCTTAAATCCCCACACAGCAGCTTCTAAGAGTTACCTTACAGGCTTCAACTCCTGGACTGGAGGAAAGGATTAATCTGAAAATCCTAATATTTACTCAGAGGAATAATAAATAAATAATTAAAAGAACAAACAAACAACAGCAACAATGAAGAGAAACTGAGAGTTCCGAGCTGCGTTCCCGTGCGATCCCACAGCCATCAGCTTCGTGATGGGCCGGGAGGGCGTGTGGGCAGTGGCTGAGCCGGGAGAAGGCACCGCTGCTCGGGGGGAATGGCTCGGTAGAGCCCGCCGGTACCCTCGACATCTCCTCTCCAAGAGGTGCACCGAGCAGCTCGGGATTGCACTCTCCCTTTGTTCCTATTTCCTCGCCCCATTCCCGCAGACGGGGCTTCTTTATTTCAGGGAATTCAGCCATCAGACGAGCAAGGACTTGTGCCTAGGTTTGTCTCTTACTTTTTGTGACCTAGAGCTACCCTAGGACCAGCAAATCATATGCTTATTTTAAATAGAATATTTCATTCAGCACCTCAAGATTAAGGTATTCCTGTCAGATAAGCTGTCAGTCACTAACTACTTAGACACCACATTGTAGAAGCCTAGTAGCCCTGGTAAAGATGATACATATCATGTAAACCCCATCAACAAGATCAAAGTCTTCTTCTTTAATAGGATCCAATACATGTCAAACCTCATTCCAATCAAATCGTCCGTAAATGAATTCAAGATGAATATGTCATAGAATAATGTGACAGTGCAATCACTGGGGGTCAGGGGTTGTTGTTTCAATGAGAGAGTCGTCAAATATTAATTCTAGAACCTCCAAATGAATAGGCATTCAGCAGGATTAGGCAGCTGCTGGTGGGGCGTTGTGTCGCTGATTTGTGTTTATGCAAGTATGTTAAACACTAAGCTGAAAAAAATATTCTCTCCTTTGAACTGAAAAATAGACATATTTTAACTTACTTGACTTTTCCAGGATGTTTCTGTAAAGTCGTTTTCTTTTCCTCATTACAAGGGGAGTCTTGTGCCTCATTTCCTGACTTGGTTCCTGTTAAGGAAGAGGGGTGGAAAGTTAAGAGCATAACAGTTTGTGTGTGATATGAAATGAGTACGGCTATGTATGGCTTGGGCACCGTGGATGCAAGAAGAAGGAAAGAAAAAACCGCCGAGAGAAACAAACCCCAAGAGTTAACAGCAAGGGGTGGGCGAGAGGAGCTTTCTCTGAGGGGAAACTGTAGGCTGTCTCCCCAGCAAAGCATCACATGTTTTATGGAGTCATGAAGTTTCCATGGCTGATGAAGGGGGAAAAAAATTATGAAAGGGCATCTTTTCAACTTCTCCTTTGATCTGACATTCACCTTCTGGCAGACTGTTGTGAGGCGGGTTTCTATCAACTCGGCTATATTGTTTACAGATCCTTCCTTCCCGAAATTAAATTTCGGGCTCTCCGCGAGCCTCCAACGCAAGTTGTTGTCTCAGCAAGGATTAGCATTGTAACACCCTGGCACTTCTCCCTGCCTATAATTTTCAGCTTGCTCTTTGCACTCTGCGAGGCAGAGCACTGTCACTGCTGCAGGCAGAACTTCGCGCATCTCTTTGAGCGGCAGCAGTAGTACAGATCTGGGCTTTGATGCAATGTCCGAGGCCGAATTCTTACACGTACCTTTGAAATTGTCGAGTGTTTTACAATATAGAAAAACAGAGGAGAATCCTTTTTTTTTTTCTTCTCCCCCCCCTTCGGAAAGAGATCATTATTACTATTTCTGTTGCTATTATTATTATTGAGACTCCAGGGCTGGGGAATAAAAATCTATACTAACACAAATAATTGATGATATTAATTATGAAACTTCATCAGCTTATCACAGGCATACTCCATCACGAATAATTTGATGCCTTCAACCTTTTCACTGCTGTGATGAAAATTACTGAAGAAATAGAAAGGGCCAAAGGAAAACCCTCAGGAATTATTTTACTTGTCAGTTTCCATTCACCCTCACATGTTTATAGAGCCAGTGAAGTAAGCACTGCCCTACTGGCACGAGTTCTGCAGGAGTGGTGCTGTATGGGGTAGGATGGAGGAGCTGGGAGAGCTCAGCTCCCGAGCATTCTCCGAAACTTGTTGAAACTGGACAAAATAAATAAATAAATACAAATTTGCTGCATTTAATATTTCAAATGGTTACCAGATGACAGAAGCAAAGGCAAAACAGTTGTGGAACTGAGTAAATATTGACTAAAACTCCGGGACGACCTCATAGCCTTTCTGATCACAAGGTGCCACTGTCAGAACGGGGAGCGGGATGTCCCATCATCCAGGCAGGGCAACCCTGCCCGTGATCGGCTGAACCATGGGGCTCTGCTGCGGGGTTCCAGACTGCACCGGGGCCCTCGTTGCCGCCAAAGGGCTCGACGTTCCCTCGGGCCAGCAGCCGGTGGAATCCAGCTGCTCTTCCCCAAAGCAGGGGGAGAAATGTGCAGCCGTTCATGCAGCAGTGAGAGGCCGGGAGATGCCTCTGCCTGCAGCCTCCGCAGGAGCTGCGGTGTCCGGGTTTGTTGGCACTGCCTCGGGGTGTGACAGTCCGGCCGGGTACCCTTTTCTGCCCCCGGGAATACAGAGAAGAAGTCAATGCAGAGAGAAAGTTCCTCGAGACCAGGTGGAGAAAGCCCTAGCCCAGCAGCTACTGTAGCCCTAGGCTACAGTCGGCTACACAAATGGAAACGGCGTCACAGACCGAAACCGGCCGGGTTGCCCTGGGCCGTGCCTGGCAGAGCAGCCGCGGGACACCGAGCTCCCTGTGCCCGGGGCTGGCACACGGAGCCAAGCTCGGGTCATAGGTCACCCTCAGCTGCGATGTGGGAGCCTCTCCCCTTTCCCGAGCGGCTCCAGGGATGGGGTCCCGCCCCCCCGAGGGCGCTGCGCGATGCTGGCTGCAGCACCCAGCTTCTTGGCAGCTCCCCCGGTCCTGCCCCGGGGAGTGGGATGTGGATAGGGGTGGAGGGGGCCGGCCGGGCTCCATCCCTCCTGTAGCCGCCTATAAAGAAGGACGCGCTGTGCTGAAGTGCCGGCTCCCCAGGCACGGCCCCATGGCATCAGGCGCGGCGGTGGGCGAGGCGCTGGGCGGGGAGCGCATCCTTGGGACGCCGTACCACGGGTCTCAACACTGTCGGCGCCCCTCGCCCTCTCCTCGATACCCCCGGCCACCTAGGCGACCGCGGGACCGAGCCGGTCCCGCCGTTGCCCTTCTCCAACTAGCTGCCGTCGTCCCGCCCGGAGCTACCCCCGCCCCTATCCGCAGACCCCCGTCCCGCTCCGCCCTGCGGAGTGCCGCCCAGCCCGCCCCTCAGGGTCCGGAAAGTTGACCGGGGCCGGCGGAGAGTGTCGGTGCCCCCCTCGACGGCACCCCGGGGTTTCTCTCTCCGTGCGCCCGCCCCACACGCCGAGGTGCTGCCGGGAGCCGGCCTCACGTGGGTTCGGGGCCGCCGAGGCGCTGCCTCAGGGCCCCGCGGGGCTCCGACCCTTCTTCCCAGGGGTGGCCGAGCCTCCTCCTGCGGAGACCCCCGAAGGCAGGGAGCTGTCACCCAAGTCTTGGGGAAGGCGGTGGGGGCAGCCACCCAAGGCACTCCCTCCTCCCCGGCACTTACCCCTTCGACCTGTTGAAGGTTTCCCCTCATATCTGAACTGGCAAAAATTAAGGGGGGGGTGGAGGGGGGGTGCGTAAGGGGTGTGGGGTGTGACTGGGGGGAAGGGAAAAGAAAGAAAGAAAGAAAAAGAAAACAATGCTCCCCCCTTCCCCCTCTCTCTCTTCTCCCCCCCTCCCCCCCCCCCCCCCCCCCCCGCCGTAAGAACCCACCACCTCTTTGGCGCTTCCATCGAGGCGGTCATCCTTCATTTCTTCTTTTCTTGCTTTCTGGAAGCAGTTAGGGAATGTATGATGAAGCAGAAATGAGCCGTCAGGATGATATTTTAATGGCTTATATGTCACGTTGGTGCATGTGGCTTTGAACTGGAGCAGCTTTCGTTTCCTGCAGAGAGCGTGCCGCAAATCCCACTTGATAACTTCTACAACCCACAACATTTTTTTTTCCTTACATTCACTCTTACAACGTATATTTAGATATGCTTCCTAAAAATACACTCCCGTCCGCCTTCCTGCGAGCTTTGTGCGTACCTGGCACTGTCACTGCTCCCCCTGCACTTGGAGGCATCCTCGCCCCACGTTGCCCAACTTTCAGGCTCTCCTGATGCCATCCCCTGAAGATTCCCCCATTACGCTGACAACTCTGTCCCATCGCTCCGGTTAATTTTAGAACCAAACGCAGAGATTAACGGGACGTCCGCACAGGATCACGTCCCGCAGAGGCACGCAGGGCGGGTGTACCTGTTGCTCTAAGCTACTGCAATTCCTCCGAGCGGATTTTGCAGAATGAACGCGTACGTGTAGATTCAGCCCCTCATTATTCCGAAAAGCTGCAAATCCTCCCAAGCTCCAAGAGGGAAATTACATAATACATCTGCTCTGGAAGGGACCCTCACGCACTGAGCAAAGGCAAAGTGCATCTGCAGATAAACTGCAGCGGAGGGCTCCTTGAAGGCATATCAAAGTTTATTTGTTGCTCGGTCGTTGGTTGCTTTCCTCCTTGGGCTGCATCCATTGCCACCCCTCCTGGCATCGTGCACTTCCCAGCGCTGCTGGCGGTGCCGCTGCCGCCCGCTCCGGTACCTGCGCGGCGGTGGCTGCCCGCGCCCTTCATTAGCACCGGGAGTTGAAAGTTTCTTTGTTTGCCACCACGAATTGGAGGGGCTCAGATTTAGTTGCGAATAAGCCAAGTGAAGGGCTGAACAAAGGCGAAATTGAAGGATTCCGAGTCTTAGCGAGCTTTTTGTGTTTTCGTTACTAGAAAATAATTAGACCTAATGAATATGCAGGCGACCGAGTAAATAAACAATTTGCCGGATTTCTGTGCGCGTACACACACATGTGCACGCACATAAGTGTATATACACACACGTATGCATCTATTGTAAAGTTTCGCGAGGTCTGTTTTTTTTTCAGAGCCGAAGCATCGTTTAAAATATTGTACAAATGTTGCTCGGCTTAATTGATTAAGCCACAAAGGCTTTCTGCTTTAAATATCACACTTCTACCTCTCGACAATCATTTTAATATATAGTCAATGGCTCTTTGTAGCGAGAACAAAAAAGAACTATCCGCAGATTTTCAATAGACTTTGAGCTGGGGAAAGACAGGTTAATCGAGGGTTGCATCTAGAAAACAACCAAGTGTTGTATGTTTGCACTGAATCCAAATGTCTGCATTTTTCTAACTAAATCAAAGGGAGTGTTATTTCTTTTTCTGCTCACTCATCTGAAGGTAAGTAAATTTTCCCTGGCGATCAAAAGCCTGGTCAGCAACAAAGGCACCGCCTGCTTTTTCCACCGTCCTGGTGTGGCAAGTTGAGGAATTTCAATAACTGTGACAAGGGTGACTGATTTGTGAACTAGAAAAGGTTTGGATGTCAGAAAATTTACATTGCTCCTATCGATGGTTTGAAATGAAATAAAAATAAAGATAGATGGGAAGGGAAAAAAAAAAAAAAAAAAAAAAAAAAGGACGCGGGAGTTTCATGCAGCAGAGCGAGGAACGATGTCTGCTTGGGAAATCCACAGTTTTTACCTGAATGAAAGAGACCCCGTAAAAAGAGAGAGAGAAAGGGGGGGGGAGAGAGAAAGGAGAAATGAAAAAAAACAGAAAAGAGGAGAAAGAGCAACAGCAGAAGTAGAAAGTGAAGAGTTCTCACCCACCTGCGTGTTGATGGGGGCAGAAAACAAGATTTATTTCAGAAAAGTGGTGGAGGGCAGAGGCAGCTCCCCCCAGAATCACGCCTGTTGGCTACAAATAAAGCCCAGCGCACCCAGCACCTACTCTCGGAGAGTTCCGGTATTAACCAGGCGGCAAACAGCAACTTCAAAAGCAGCGAGTCACTACAGGGCTCCTCTTTTCAGAGCCTAAAAAGTTGCTCAGTGATCTTAAAAAATCGGGATCACCACGAAACCATCATTACCGTCATTATAGGAGTGCTGGAGCGAGAGGGGCAGAGAGAGAGGGAGACAGGGGGAGAAAGGAACCCAAAGAATAATCAAAGATTTTTTGTTGTTGTTGTTGTTTCCTTAGCACACATAGACACAAAAAGATGCGTTGGAAATATTTTCGTGGAAAAAAAAAAAAAAAAAAAAAGGTTTATTATAAAAAAAAAAAAAAAAAAAGTTGCTACTCCTGGAAGCCCTGTTTGTCCAAAGGGCTGTCAGGGCGCTCACAATACCTGCGATTGATGAGGCGGAGCGGCCAATCAGCGGCGGGCGGCGGCCGTGCGCGCCCCTCGTTGGCGGGGCCGGGGGGAGTTACGCGGGGAAGGGGGAGCCGCCGGCAGCCAATCAGCGCCCACGTCCGCCCGCACGTCGCCCCGCCCCCGGCTCCCATTCATCAAGGGGGGGGCCGGTGTCGTCCTTTCAATTCATTTATCTGCAGGAATGATTGCCGCTATCAGTCTCGCGTTCACCGCCCGGCTGAGGAGGTGAAAGTTTCTCCCCAGGAAGATAAACCGCAAAAGACAATATTGTGCATGATTTGCGCCTTTTTTTGCAAAGCGAAAAAAAAAAAAAAAAAAGGCAAAAAAAAAAAAAAATAGGGGAGAGTGTGGGGAAGCTCGAAGAGGAGAGAGAAAATCTCTCGGCCACTTCGCGACATTCCTATAGCCAAAAAAATCACTGAAGGAAGTTTCTTTTTTGTTTTGTTTTTCTGCTGCCCGCGCCGAGCTCTCGCCGTTATTGTTATTTGCGGGCAGTTTCTTTTTGCGCCCACCCCAACCCCCCTCCCCACTTCAGCCTCCCAGAAAAGTCAAAGCAGAGAGACAGTGAATATTTTTTTGGGGCACCTTTTTTTATTATTATTATTTGCGTCTGCGAAGATCTCTTTCCCCCCTTTCCCACCAGCCTCTGTTGTATTTTTTTTTGTTTTTGTTTTTGTTTTTGTTTTTTTTCCTCCCCCCCTTTTTTTTCTCCCCCCCGCGCTGATGCCGAAGGGGGTGTTTTTGATGTGGTTGCTTTGGTGGTGATCGTCGCCGACTTTCCAGAGAGGGTGTTTTCGCCGCTGCCGCTGCTGCTGCTGCTTCTCTCCGCGTTGTGTGCGTGCGCGCGTGCTTTTTTTTGGGTTGCTGCATCGACGCTGGGAAGATGCTTCTGGATGCTGGACCGCAGTATCCCGCCATAGGAGTCACTACGTTCGGATCGTCTCGCCACCACTCCGCGGCCGATGTCACGGACAGAGAAGTGGGGCTGGGAATCAACCCCTTCGCCGACGGCATGGGCGCCTTCAAACTCAACCCCGGCGGCCACGAGCTGGCCTCGGCCGGGCAGACCGCCTTCACCTCGCAGGCTCCGGGCTACGCGGCGGCGCTGGGGCACCACCACCACCCGCCCCACGTCGGCTCCTACTCCAGCGCCGCGTTCAACTCCACCCGGGACTTTCTGTTCCGCAACCGCGGCTTCGGGGAGGCCGCGGCCGCCAGCGCCCAGCACAGCCTCTTCGCCTCCGCCGCCGGCGGCTTCGGCGGCCCGCACGGACACGGCGATGCCGCGGGACATATACTTTTCCCCGGGCTGCACGAGCAAGCGGCTGGCCACGCTTCGCCCAACGTGGTGAACGGGCAGATGCGCCTGGGCTTCTCCGGAGACATGTACGGCCGAGCCGAGCAGTATGGCCAGGTCACCAGCCCCCGCTCCGAGCACTACGCCTCGAGCCAGCTGCACGGCTACGGCCACATGAACATGAACATGGCAGCGCACCACGGGGCGGGGGCCTTCTTCCGCTACATGCGGCAGCCCATCAAGCAGGAACTCATCTGTAAGTGGATTGAGCCCGAGCAGTTGGCGAACCCCAAAAAGTCCTGCAACAAAACTTTCAGCACGATGCACGAGCTGGTGACTCATGTCACCGTGGAGCACGTTGGAGGACCCGAGCAGTCCAATCACATATGTTTCTGGGAAGAGTGCCCGCGAGAAGGGAAACCTTTCAAGGCCAAATACAAACTCGTAAATCACATCCGAGTCCACACAGGTGAAAAACCTTTCCCCTGCCCTTTCCCAGGCTGTGGCAAAGTGTTTGCCAGATCAGAGAATCTCAAAATACACAAAAGAACTCACACAGGTACGGTAACCTTCTCTGTAGCCTTTTTGTCCGCGCGTGGACTCGCGAGGCCGGGTCGGGCCGGGCCGCTTCGGGGCCGTTCGCTGCTCCCGGGGCCGCGGAGCTGCAGGGCGGTGCTGGCTCGAGCTCGGGCACGGCGGCGGCCGCGACAAAAAGCGAGCTGTGCCCGGGAGGCGGAGGGGGAGAGAGGCGCGGTTTGCTGTCGGAATGGTGAGGGCAGGGGGGGAAAATAACCGCAGCGACCTGGTCTTGGTAAATTTATAGGTTTTAATTAATAGTTCTTCGGCAGTTTTGAGTGTGGCGCGATGAGAAACGGTGCTAAATATTGCAGGCGGCTCATCCGTCTCCCCTGTTCGATTGAGGGGCTGGTAAATATTTAATTCCGTGGAGCGATTGGAAATCAAGCGAGCCGAGCGCTTTCGCGTGTTATTGTTGTGCGGAGGAGGGCGGGCGCCGGGGACCTGAGAACTTTTCCCCGCCGCGGGAGGCGGCCGCGCTGCTCTGGGCCGGGAGCGCTCCCCCCCGCACCGCTCCGCGCCGAGCTGCTCCGAGGAGGGTTCGTGGGGTTGCGGCCGCCGTGCGTGTCTCGGTCCGGCCGGGCCGAGCTCGGTACTGCGGAAAAATACGGGGGAGGGGGCCGAGGGTAAAATATCACGACAGCGAGGCGTGAAAACGGCAAGCAGACTCTGAGATCGGGTGGAAATAGCGGCACGCCGGCTCTGCCTCTCGCTTCCGAGCGCCGCGAAAAGGGAGCGGGAGCAGAGCCTAGGGCTGGGCTGCAGCTGGAATTCGCCCCTGCGAACAGAGAGAGGGGAAAAAAGAAAAGTTCTTGGGTGCTCTACTCCTCCCTCCATTTGGAAATGGGCGCCGAGAGCGGGTCGGAGGTGCGGATAGGACAGAAAAGAGCAGGAAGGTCTGGGGCTTTGAGCCCCGCTGAACTTAGAAAGTTGCGAGTGTTTGCGGTGGAGCCCCGTGCTCCCGTCCGGCGCTGCGGTGGGGGCGAGCAGAGATCCGGCGGCCCTGCCTAATCCGATCCGTTTTTT